TAGAAGATGGTCCCAACGTGACGGAACAACAGAGGTAATGAGTAACTGAATGTATGCGGACAAAATATTGTTGGCCACGTGAGACATAGCGTTGTTATAGAGCGACTGTTGAAATTAAGTGTATCGTAAAGTTATATTCAGAAAGAATAAACCAGTTTTATTTAAGAAAGGACTTGCGTCGCTAAAGTTTCGTCGGAACGAATTTACGGAAAATTAACTAACGACTGGAGGCGTAACAATACAATTGAAGATGATTTGTTGACCTCAAACATAATTCTTGAGAGAAACAATTTATGATACAATATTTATATAAAAAGGGGGTCGGAGTTCAATAATTTAACTTGCCAATGTTCAAATTACCAGTATAAGACTCAATAACGTATTATGGTTTAAGTACAGTTTCACGAATAACTTAATTAATGTTATGTAGCTTTTTAGAAACTGTTTTGTTTTTTCATGGTGTTCACCTCAATGTTGTTTTATGAAATAAATAGCAATTACTGAGATTATTACCTTTAACGGAATTATACTGTGATAAACTTTCGTTACGTTATCTGTTTAGTAAAACCATAAGGGTTTTTAATTGTTGTTCCAAAGTAATTTTTCGCAGGATAACCAATTCATTTATAACTTGCAAGGCATGTGAAATTACATGAGAGTTTTTTATTTTAATTATTTTAGTCATTGATAGGTGGCGTTTTGTTGATGAACGGATTGTCCAAGTTGATAAAGGTGGTAGATGACTTAAGACTAGTTCTCTGTTTTTATTAATTTGTTTTATTTTTCATCGTCGTTCAAATATTTTAATACATGGCATCCTGTGTAAGTCTTGTATAACGTGTACTGCGAAATGCATTTTTCAATTCCCGATACACAGGAACTTAAAGATAACCATGGAGGAACATATGTGGTATGTTGTTAACCTAGTTCAGTATTGGTATGTAGCTTGTCAGAAATTGACAATGGCACTGTGGCAATACTTGAGATAAGTGTGGGCGTAGACTGTCAGACTGATTGTAAACTTAAACAAAATACCACATTCATTTGTAACAGTATAACTTGTAAGACAAAAACTCAAAAGGTTAAAATATCGGTAGAAGTACTATTAGTTAGGAAGTATATTGAATTGATGCAAAGCTTTGTAAGTTGTAAGTTATATAAATACGAAAGTTTCCAGATGGAGAACCTTTACCTTAGAAAAATATTTACCTTTTCTGTTTTTCTATATTATTGAGGGATCGAAATCCCAGAGTGCATAAACCATTATAATGCTTATACAATACAAGTTTTTATTTAAATTGCTTCAAATTATATGCACAAATACCCTCACAAGTATATAAAGACTAAAGCACATAACATAATCATAGCCCATGATTACCATGGCAATTTGTTGTTCTCAGATACTTTTTAGCATCGTAAAAGAAACCAAATAAATTGAGCTTTTTCAGAAAGTGGACTTTCCTTCATCAAGGGTAATTGGCAAAACTACTGGGTTTAATCTGTTGTCATTGGAAGATGACCCTTGGACTTATTGGATATAAATAATAAAGAAAATGAAATAAATATACAATTTATTAAAAATTCTTTGGAAAATTTTTCAAGCTTGACACCAGTGTCTTAGATAATATTTTTTTATGTACTATTCTGTGACTGTGTTCACTCTCATCAGGGTTCAGTTTTTTCAAACATCTATCACCACAATAATTACATACAAAGTATCCTTTGACAAAGCTTCTCAAAAAGTTAAGTCTATTTTTTCTATTTTTATTTGTTCATCTAGTTTTTCATTTAAGCTTCTTTAGTTTTATATAGTATTTTGTTTGTAATGCCTATAACCATTTTTGGCTACTTTAAATATTGCATTTTATTTATATTTCCTGGACACACTAGCTTAATTTTCTTGTATTGCCTTCACCCACAGGAAAGTCTCATTTTTATGTCTCCATAGAGAGACATACTGTTTTTCTATTGTTTCTACTTCTTCTCTCTTTTTTTCTTCATTACTTCATTTCTTGGCAAGTTGACTTCAAACTTGGTAGGGTTATACCTTGGTCTAATATGCCTAGACGCCTTTCTAATTAATTTATACTTAATCCTTTTTAATGGTTTTATGGGGTCAAAGGTTAAGCAACCCAAACAATATATGTTTTGGGCTCCTGTGCAGTCATATTTATAGCAATCAAGGTTAAAATTGGCACAAATATAAATTTTCATGTGCCTGACACATTGACATACGAAAAATTTGAATTTGCTCATTTTGAGTCTTTTTAGGGGGATCAGGGTCTGCAAAAAAGCATAATTTTGGAGTATTTAGTCAATTGCTTGGCCATATTTTGACCAATTTATATGGGATTTGGTACAAAGATACTTTTGTACAGGTCACATACATTGACAAACAAAAATGGTGGACTTGCCTATTCTAAGTAATTAGAGGGGGGTCAAGATGTCATAAAAGTATAATTTTAGGGTTTTTTGACAATTTGATGTATTTTGGCCAATTTACAATGGATTTGGTACAAAGATACTTTTTACATTTCATGAACAGAGATATAGACAATTTTTATTTTTTGCTTAAATTTTTTAGTGAGGAAGGCACAGTTTGGGGTTTTCGTTAACTATTCATGTGTATGTCAACCAACTTGCATGGGATTTGGTACAAAGATACCTTCTTGCAGGTCCAAAGTAGTGATATAGATAGTCTTAAATTTTTCTGGTGTCAAAATTGGCCATGTTGGATTGCGTGGGAGAGACATGTTACATTCTCCTGTGAATGCTGGCCTATAATTTTGTCTTTAACTTTCAGTTAAGTGAGTGATTCTTGTAGGTTCTTTGACCAGGACATTGAAGGCTTTATACATTTTTGTTTTAATATATGTAATTCACAAAACATGTTGAACAATAATGCTTTCTCGGCCCTGTGGTGTTAAGTTTATAAACAGTAATGCTAAATGTTTAATATTTGATGGAAGTGCAGCGATCGAAATATTACATTCCTGAGGAATTTAACTGTGCTTGGGGAATTTCATCTTTTTAGTTGGCTTTTCTGATTGGGAATGCATGGTCCATTCTTATTCCTTTAGTTATGACCAATGAAAGTGAACATATTGCATGGATTAAATAAATAAAAAATTCATGAGGGAATGCAACTTTACATGAAGGAATGTAATCTTATTGATAGCTTTCCCTTGAGTGACTGTAATTTAATTGTATTATTTCTATCCTGAAATGAATGCATACTAGTCATAATTTTAATAACAGAAAAATATACTAAAATGTTATTTCTAGATATTGAAACAGTTAATATGTCTTAATATTATATAGATTAAAACTTAGCCTAGTGTCAAACTTATTCAGTTGTGTAATATTAAAGTATAGTAGGACATACTTGGTATTTATATAACACTAAAACAGTATTTTAACTCTCTCTAACAATTAAAACAAACTTTGAATTTCGACAATGAGTGTCTTGAAATCTGATTTTTTAGAAATAACCTTACTTAATATTAGTTGGCTTATAATAGATAAATCTTGATAAGGCATCACTGATAATATTGTACACTGTAGAGGCAACATGTTTTTATATTTTAATAACATTTCCAGATTTCATTATATTAACCTTCCTATTTATAGTATTTTTTGCATTGTTGCTATAATTTTGTATTATTAGTTGAACAATGTACATATATGCACTTGTCATGATTTCACTGAGCAGTTTCTACATATTTCTTAATTTTATTTTTTTTCTTTCATCTTACTTGTTCTAACCTTACATTTACTTTATCAAATATACCTTATTATCTGTAAGTTATAATACTTTTGTCACCTGTGATATTTTTTTAGTTCTACTGGATTGTCATCTAGAAGTATGACTGCAAGAAATCTTTTATTGTACACTTAAGAATGAATGAAATGTTGATACCAGGATTTTTAAAAACAGAGTATTTATTAAAATTTTCATGAGTTAAACAGAATATACTATATACTCACAATTCCAAAATGCTAGTGGCCAGACTTAAAAACATTATTAAACATTAAACTTCTAACTCAACAATATAACCTTATGACAAAAAGTTAAGAAAAAACCCAATCTTTTAAAGTATCACAAAATCTACTTGATATTACAACGCTTTCAAACAAGTTTCAAGTAATTTTTAGTCTAAAACTCCACATTCTCAACCATTTGGTGTATCAGTCTTCAGCTCCATTTCATTTGCTACCAAACAACAAGATTGCAGTTCAACATGAAACAGTTATTGGTTCTTGACAAAATGTCTGGTTAACCAATTTGTATAGAGTGAAAGACCATAGTTACCATGACATAGATCCCAGTGCTATCCAGTGCCAGCCATTTTGTCTCACCTTGAGAGTAAAGTTGCATTTAAGTTTCAATGGGATACAAGGTGGCATCATGCATAAACAAACCTAAAAGAAAACTTGTGTAAACAACAGAGGAAGAGGTACCTAAAACATAAACATAATAATAATAATAACTGAAATTAAAAAATACTGCTCCATGTGATTGTCATTTGACACTTTCAAAACTAGAAACTATTTATATCCAAGGTACTGAAAATTTTGAAGTTGAAATCAGCTTTCCAGACTTTCATGTATCCATACCTTCTGTAAAAAAACAAAAACAGGTGACAAATTCATTCAGCCATATCTCACATTTATTCACCTATCCAGCAAAATTTTAATTGAGACTTAACAGTAATATGCCACATTAGCAGGCAAGCCAGCCCTAAAAAAAATTGACAAAAGAATACCACATTTAGGCTTCAAAGCTTAAACCTATTTTCCCTAAATGGCTTGCCACTAACTTTTTGAAACATGTGTAAAAGCACTAATTAGCATAAAGTGAATTAAAAAAAAAAAGAACCAAAGTTGAGTGCTTTTGAATAGTTGGCTATTCAACTATTTGAAAGTTCTTGAGTTTTGAGTCTTTTTTTTCATATATATTCATTGCACCTTTTGTGAGTGATCCTGTGTGCTAACTCTTTTTATCAGAAGTGACCTTACTCCAGATGTTCAACTTCAATATGAACATGACATACCTGTAAGAAACTCCTGAAGATCAAAATAATAGTTTTTGATCAAGAAAAGGCTTCTTGCTAGCAGCTAGAAATGTCATTAAAGGCATCATCTAAGTAGAGCTGTGTGATGTAATCAATATAATCAATTAGTGTCACCTAAACTAATCAGTAGTTTAAACTATGATTAAACTTTTTAATTAAAATTAGTTTTACTGATTGTTACTGTTTTCAGTTATTCCAACAACTGATTAATCAAAGTTATGATTAAATTGATTGTCACAAAAATAATCAACTAATTGAAATTAGCATCTCCAATTGCTACTGCTTTTTATTGCTCCAGAAGTCAATTGGTTGAGATCATGATTAAATCAGTTGTCACAAAAACAATCGACTAATCCAAATTAGGGTTTCTGAATATTACTGCTTTAAATTATTCCAACTATCCAAGTAATCAGAATATTGCTATTATGCTTTTTGTTAAGCATAAAGCTACATAATAAGCTGTCTGTGCTGTGCTCAATTTCAGTCTTATAACTACTTTTTTTTTTACTTTATATTTGTTCAGCTTTGGTGAATTTGGCAGAGGGGTTCATGATTCAAGGGTTTTGGATTCAATTCCGATTGCCACCAGACTTGCTTACCATGTCTTTGTTATTGCAAAGGTACTAAGGTTATCCACCATGGTCTCTAATTTTGAACTACTGACTAGATGAAAGGCAATTGGCTAACATCACCTGCCACTAACTATTTTTTTACTTTTGACCTGCTGGTTAGAGGGAAGGCAACTGTCTGGAGCACCAACTGCCGACCTTTATTTTTTCAATTCTAAGACTGCTAATTAAAAGAAAGACAGTTGGCTGCCTGTGCTGCTTCTTAA